AGAAAGAGAGAAGAAAGAAAAGGAGAAATTGTTGCTGATGACAAATTTTATTCTTTCCAAGACTATGGAACCTAAAAAGGGAAGGTTTCCAAATCTTTATTTCTTTTCCAATCATGTTTTATTCTTCAAATATGGACTTCTCTTTCAAACAAATTGTCATCTCATGTTCTATGCAAACTTTTTCAAAATATGACAATTCAAATCTTGAATTATTCTTATCTTTTAGGAAAGAAATAACTCAAGACAAAAGTGAATTTGGACTTCTAGAATTTCCAAATGTGATAAAACAAAATATTAGAAGTCCTTATTTCCTTGTTTTTATATAAAATTTTTTTCTTGGATTGATATTAATTGAAAATATATTTGATGTTTATTGTAGATTTGTGTTTGATCCAGGAGGAAGAAAAAGTGGATCTAAAAGAATAAGGCCACTCCAAGATGGCCATGCTCCCAAAGATTGTGAGGAGCTTCTTCATAAGGCGATTGCCAGATTTGAGGACAAATCTTTTTTTAAGAGAGAGGGTATGATGGAATCCTGCCTGATGTGTTTCTTAGTGTCCTCTTTTTGTGGTTTTCACATTTTATTGTGCACGTATTTTAGCTTGTGAGGAGCATGGGTTACTATAAATACCCAGCTCTCCTCTCTTGTATTGGGAATTTTGAGATTAATGAGAATTGACTTTTCTGAATCAGAAACTATTTTCTCTTGAAAGTCATAGGCTAGAGAGTCAAAAGACTCCCTCTAGCCACCTTCCAAGCACCTCTATCACTTTCATTTTCCAAATTTCACGGTGCTTCTCTCCTCCACGCTACTTCTCCTTTGCTGCCACCTCGTTAGCGCATGCGTCAACTCCTCCATTCCACGTCATTGGCTTTTCCTCTCACGCACAGAAACGCCACTTCATTTCGCATTTCACCTCTCGCGCATCAGACACGCACATCCACATTCTCTCTCTCGTTTCTCCATCTCGCAGAACCATATCTCATTCTTCCTCTCGAGGGTTCTTCACAGTAAGCCAATTGTCTTCCTAGAATCTCCTTCTTCCTTCATTTCTTTGATTCGTCTCAGCCATTACAAACCTTTCCACCGAACATCTACATCCAAACTTAGGGTTCCTTCATCATTCTCACTTTGCCTTTCGATTTCACCGATTATTTTCCCCTTTCTACTGTTTAATCCACTTTCCACCGAACAATCTATCTTTCCCAATGTTCAATCTTGAGTTTGAACCGATTAATCGGTTCATTTTGAGTTTCCCTCTTTTCTAGGGTTCGTTCATGATTTTAGGGTTTTCTGCAATCGATTTCAATTCTCTCAGTTTCCTTCGAGTCATCTCTCAATCTAGAGCTTCGTTTCCATTTCCGCTGCGTCCGAATCCTCGAGGAGTCCGAATCGTGCTGGCACAACTTCTATCGTCATCTTCTCGGGCGCTCGTCCATCACTGGGAAGCAACCCTAGATGGAATAAACTTGCATAATAAAAGTCATTTCAATTACAGTAGGGTTTAAACATCAAATTATATCAAGAGATTAAAATCTTACCCTTTACCATACGGCTCAATCCATGGTCGATCATGGAGGGACGGTTCAAGACCTTCACCATCACCACTTGAATCTGGATCAGCAGATGGTGTGACAGTCTCAGAAGGCGGTGTACAAGATGAGGAAGGTATAGAAGTAGGGTCAGGGAGAGGAGTGGGGGTAATAACCACAGGGGGAGGAGTGAGGGTTATAATCACAGGAGGAGGAAGAGGGTCTGTTGTAGGGGTAGTAGAAGGGTGTGCTGCAAGGGTAGGAGAAGGGTGTACTGCAGGGGTAGGATAACGGTGTATTGTAGAGGTAGGAGTAGGGTCTACTGCAGGGGTAGGAGGCTGTATTGTAGGGGTAGGAGGAGGCCCCACAGATGATGTACCGGGGGCAGCAATGGTAGGTAGATTAGCAGGCACCCTAAGTACATACTTTGGTGCCTGCCGTTGCCTCTTTTTACGCCTTGCTACCCCCTTTCCTTTATTAGGACGTTCTGAACCTTGTCCTGTCATTACTGCATTTTATGGTTACAAAAGAAGCGAAAAAAAAGAAATGAATAAGGAAGGATCAAGAAATGAAATGAAATTCATTAGTGTATAACAATTGTGTCTTTGGAAAGATAAAAGATGGGTGACGACATACTCAAGGTACGGCTTAACTTCATTGCAATTAATTAAGACATGGACATGAGCAGAATTGAATTCAGCATCAGTTAACCAATGTGTGAATTCTTTCTCTGCGTGACGACCTGATTGTCGGAAAACTGATAATGCACCTTCACGTGGTTCAACTTTCCATTGCATTTCATTTCTGACATGAGTGGGGGAGAACATGAAGTTTTTGAAATAATGTGAACCAAAATACCTTGTCTCTCTGTGCAAGTAAGCTGCACAAATTGAGCCTTCTACTCTAGCTTTATTTTTAACTGAACGTTTGGATTCTCCCATAAACCTTTCAAATGGATACATCCACCTGTATTGCACAGGTCCCCCAAGCCAAGCTTCATATGCAAGATGAATTGGAATATGCTCCATTGAATCAAAGAATGCAGGAGGGAATATTCTTTCTAATTTGCAGAGAATAATTGGGATATTTTCATCCATCTTTTTAAGGGAATTCTCCTTTAGTGTCGTGCAACACAAATCTTTAAAGAAGTTACTAATTTCTATCAGGGGATTTAACACATGCATTGGCAAAGAACTGAACGCAAGAGGGATGAAAGTCTCCATGAATACATGACAATCATGACTCTTCAACCCTTGAATAGTACCGTTCTGAACATTGGCACATCCCTAATCGGCTGTTACCTTGCGCCTTCAACTCTAAGTCTTTTCGTCCACAATACAAAGGTATATCTTTTCTTGCTTTCTCATTATCTTTTTTCTTACCTATAACATTCATAACTGTGTTGAAGACATTGTCAAAGAAATTTTTTTCTCTGTGCATGACATCGAGGTTGTGTCTTAGCAAGTTGTCTTTCCAATAGGGAAGTTCCCAGAATATGCTTCTTTTAGTCCAATTATGTCATTCTTCAAACCCTTTTATCTTATTCTGACCAGATTCAGTAACTTTTGGATAGTCTTTAACTCTTCTCCAAATGTGTGATCCAATCAACTTCGGCAGGGGCAAATCCGTTTCAACTTGCCCTTTGCGAAATGCCTTTTTGTTTCTTCTAAAGGGGTGATCAATGGGCAAGAACCGTCGATGGCAGTCAAACCAACTACTTTTCCGACCATAACTCAATTGGAATGAATTTGTATGTTCCATGCAATGTGGACAAGCTAACTGACCATGCGTGCTCCAACCAGATAACATGTCGTACGCTGGGAAGTCATTAATAGTCCATATCGAGGCTGCCCTCATAAGGAAATTTTGCTTCCTTGAAACATCATACATTCAAACACCATTCCATAACTTCTTTAAATCATCAATCAAAGGCTCCAAATAAACATCAATCAATGATTTGGGATTAGATGGACCTGGTATTATACACGATAAAAACATGTAAGGCTTTGTCATACATCTCAGGTGGTAAATTGTATGGGGTAACTATCATGGGCCAACATGAATATGGTGATGCAAAGGCCTGAATGTACGAGGTAAACCGATCAGAGCATAGACCAAGTCTGACGTTACGCGGTTCACTAGCAAAGGATGAATGTTTACGATTGAAGTGCTTTGAAGCTTCACCATCAGAAGGATGACACAAAAATCCTTCAGTTTTGTTACCATCATGCCATGTCATGTGTTCTGATGTTTGCATTGAAGTAAACATTCTTATTAATCTTGGAATTATAGGCAAGTAGAACATGGACTTTAAGGGAATGGGTTTTTTTTGCCTCTGTCCAGCATGCATCGTATGATATCGAGGTGAACCAAAAAACTTGCATTCAACCAACAATGCATCATGTTTGCCATTGTCATTGTCGTAGAATAACATACATCCATTAACATAACAATCAATCTTCTTGACTTCCAGTCCCAACTTTGAAACACATTTTTTGGCTTGGTAATAATTCTTCGGCATAAATTGTTTGGTGGTGTCAAATCTAACATCAATTTTGTATAAAAGTCCACTACTTGAATGGGCACGTTCCAATTAGATTTGCCAGCCATGAGTCTAATGCACACTGATAATTTAGACTCAGTTGAACCTTCAAATACAGGTAGATTTGCCTATGTCAGTAAATTGTAAAACCTTTGAGTGGTTTCATTTGGAGGCTCTTCATAATGACTATTGTTTCCTTCTTGTTCAGAAGGCGACGAAGAGCATTGTCGACTATCTCTTGCATATCGACAAATTGATCTATCTCAGATGTGTGTACAATAGTATTCGAACCTGATGCAAGCCGCTTTTCAGCTGCAGTGGAGGTCGAAGGAATTTCTTCACCATGAAATGTCCAAACCGTGTAATTAGGCATGAACCCTTTTTGGTATAGGTGAAGTTTGACGACTTCATCTTTCAAAATCCTTGTACATTCGCACTTGATGCATGGACATCGAATCCCTCCATCAACAGCATAATAGTGATATCGTCGGGCCGTCTCCACAAACTCTTCAACTTCGATGACAAAAGTTTCCTTCAAACCTCTCCCTCCACTATAACAACGGTCGTACATCCATCCATGATGGTTGGGAAAATGGGCCATGTTCTGTGACAAGCCAAACAAATAAAAACTTAGCCAAAACAACAACACTCCATGTGACATAAGTAATAAACCTATTACTACTCAAGTCAAACATGGAAGGCAATTTCAACACTATTGTCATAGGCATTCAATAAGGACATCCAAAGAGAAGTCCTCAGTATTTAAATGCCTTTGACATCCTAAGTGGTTGTGTATAAAATTTGGGGGAGTCAATAATCTGACATTACTAAAGTTCTCTTTTATAGAGTACTTTCACATATTTTGTACATTGTAAGTGTTTAAGGTACTATTACCCTTCTCATTCTATTGGGAATCTTTTTAGTACCATAGGAATTTAAATGACTACTTAACTTAATCAAGTTGTAGCCTAATAAATGAACATACAATATACAGGAACATACAATATATACATCAACATACAACATATAGATGAACATTCACTGGTGGTCTAAATGCAGGTTTGATAACAAATTTGTCCAAGGAAATAAAATTCTCATCTACTTTAGTCTATTTATAGGTGTTCAATAGTCAAATTCTGTTTTTCTTTTTATTTTTCAATTGACACTTCAATTTTATCTTTCTTTTATCTTTTAAAAGTGGTGTAGATAGTTAGTTTACTGTTTTCGTGAGTACTTTAATATACTTTGCACTCTTAGTGTATTTTAGGTACTACTTTTAGGTTTCTAAGTTGACAAATTTTGAGTTTTAGGTATTTTATGTAGTGTGAGTGCTTAAATAGCTAGGTTCTACCATTCTTAACTTGTTAGGATAGTTTATTTGTAGTATATTTTCCTAGTTTAGTGCAGTTTGCAAAATTAGCACAATATTTTTGAGGTTTGAGTAGTGATTTTTAGCTATTCCATCTAATTTCTGTTTAACTCCACCTTGTTGCTGTTTTCCAGGTTGGTCTTGTGTAGTTACACATTCTACAGTCACTTTTAACATTGCCTAGTTAATTGAATGTTATAAACTCACTTTTGGTGGTGTGAGGGAGTGATTATTCTGCAGTTTTGGCCATAACAAAGTCAGATTTCGAAGTCTACCATTTGTATGTTGTGTCATAGTTTTAGCAAGTCTAAAGTGATCTTTAAAAGTTGGTAGCAGAGTGATGGACGCATCACAGAGTTCAATTACTGATATAATGGTCTAAGTGCATAATAGTATACTAAACCATCAATTTTCAGTCAAAATTGGGAAGTGGCAAGGTGTTTTTCAGTAACAGTTTGGATGTGAGCCAATTCAAAGTTTGAACAACTTTAAAAACACTAAATCAAGTTGCTGGACTGATTAGTTTAAGAGATGATTATGCGTATATGCATAAAAATGACCATTTCAACAGTCCAAGTGTTAGAAGATGGAGTGATTAATACAGGTTGCTACTACTTGGAACATGTTTAATATCATTAAACAAACTTTAGCTGTGACCTTCGAAGGTAATGTGATGATTAACTTAACTCTACCTTTTTTTTATATCGAATTGTTTCAGTTTTGCTTGTAGTTTTGAGTTCTCATTCATGAAGATGTTTTACTTTAATTTGTAGTTTTGAGTCCAAAGTTTATCATAACAGTCAAGAACCTCTAAGAAATGTAGTACCATTCAATAACAGTTCTTAAAACTGGTATTACCCACTCTCAAATGTAGTACTACCCTTTCTGCTCATGAACTGATCAAAGTCCATTCTGCAACACAAAACTAATTAGTTTAGGTTTGGTTTGGTCTCTTTAAAACTGGCATGACTGGCCTATGGTGTCAGTCTANTGGATTCTCCCATAAACCTTTCAAATGGATACATCCACCTGTATTGCACAGGTCCCCCAAGCCAAGCTTCATATGCAAGATGAATTGGAATATGCTCCATTGAATCAAAGAATGCAGGAGGGAATATTCTTTCTAATTTGCAGAGAATAATTGGGATATTTTCATCCATCTTTTTAAGGGAATTCTCCTTTAGTGTCGTGCAACACAAATCTTTAAAGAAGTTACTAATTTCTATCAGGGGATTTAACACATGCATTGGCAAAGAACTGAACGCAAGAGGGATGAAAGTCTCCATGAATACATGACAATCATGACTCTTCAACCCTTGAATAGTACCGTTCTGAACATTGGCACATCCCTAATCGGCTGTTACCTTGCGCCTTCAACTCTAAGTCTTTTCGTCCACAATACAAAGGTATATCTTTTCTTGCTTTCTCATTATCTTTTTTCTTACCTATAACATTCATAACTGTGTTGAAGACATTGTCAAAGAAATTTTTTTCTCTGTGCATGACATCGAGGTTGTGTCTTAGCAAGTTGTCTTTCCAATAGGGAAGTTCCCAGAATATGCTTCTTTTAGTCCAATTATGTCATTCTTCAAACCCTTTTATCTTATTCTGACCAGATTCAGTAACTTTTGGATAGTCTTTAACTCTTCTCCAAATGTGTGATCCAATCAACTTCGGCAGGGGCAAATCCGTTTCAACTTGCCCTTTGCGAAATGCCTTTTTGTTTCTTCTAAAGGGGTGATCAATGGGCAAGAACCGTCGATGGCAGTCAAACCAACTACTTTTCCGACCATAACTCAATTGGAATGAATTTGTATGTTCCATGCAATGTGGACAAGCTAACTGACCATGCGTGCTCCAACCAGATAACATGTCGTACGCTGGGAAGTCATTAATAGTCCATATCGAGGCTGCCCTCATAAGGAAATTTTGCTTCCTTGAAACATCATACATTCAAACACCATTCCATAACTTCTTTAAATCATCAATCAAAGGCTCCAAATAAACATCAATCAATGATTTGGGATTAGATGGACCTGGTATTATACACGATAAAAACATGTAAGGCTTTGTCATACATCTCAGGTGGTAAATTGTATGGGGTAACTATCATGGGCCAACATGAATATGGTGATGCAAAGGCCTGAATGTACGAGGTAAACCGATCAGAGCATAGACCAAGTCTGACGTTACGCGGTTCACTAGCAAAGGATGAATGTTTACGATTGAAGTGCTTTGAAGCTTCACCATCAGAAGGATGACACAAAAATCCTTCAGTTTTGTTACCATCATGCCATGTCATGTGTTCTGATGTTTGCATTGAAGTAAACATTCTTTTTAATCTTGGAATTATAGGCAAGTAGAACATGGACTTTAAGGGAATGGGTTTTTTTTGCCTCTGTCCAGCATGCATCGTATGATATCGAGGTGAACCAAAAAACTTGCATTCAACCAACAATGCATCATGTTTGCCATTGTCATTGTCGTAGAATAACATACATCCATTAACATAACAATCAATCTTCTTGACTTCCAGTCCCAACTTTGAAACACATTTTTTGGCTTGGTAATAATTCTTCGGCATAAAATTGTTTGGTGGTGTCAAATCTAACATCAATTTTGTATAAAAGTCCACTACTTGAATGGGCACGTTCCAATTAGATTTGCCAGCCATGAGTCTAATGCACACTGATAATTTAGACTCAGTTGAACCTTCAAATACAGGTAGATTTGCCTATGTCAGTAAATTGTAAAACCTTTGAGTGGTTTCATTTGGAGGCTCTTCATAATGACTATTGTTTCCTTCTTGTTCAGAAGGCGACGAAGAGCATTGTCGACTATCTCTTGCATATCGACAAATTGATCTATCTCAGATGTGTGTACAATAGTATTCGAACCTGATGCAAGCCGCTTTTCAGCTGCAGTGGAGGTCGAAGGAATTTCTTCACCATGAAATGTCCAAACCGTGTAATTAGGCATGAACCCTTTTTGGTATAGGTGAAGTTTGACGACTTCATCTTTCAAAATCCTTGTACATTCGCACTTGATGCATGGACATCGAATCCCTCCATCAACAGCATAATAGTGATATCGTCGGGCCGTCTCCACAAACTCTTCAACTTCGATGACAAAAGTTTCCTTCAAACCTCTCCCTCCACTATAACAACGGTCGTACATCCATCCATGATGGTTGGGAAAATGGGCCATGTTCTGTGACAAGCCAAACAAATAAAAACTTAGCCAAAACAACAACACTCCATGTGACATAAGTAATAAACCTATTACTACTCAAGTCAAACATGGAAGGCAATTTCAACACTATTGTCATAGGCATTCAATAAGGTCATCCAAATAGAAGTCCTCAGTATTTAAATGCCTTTGACATCCTAAGTGGTTGTGTATATAATTTGGGGGAGTCAATAATCTGACATTACTAAAGTTCTCTTTTATAGAGTACTTTCACATATTTTGTTCATTGTAAGTGTTTAAGGTACTTTTACCCTTCTCATTCTTTTGTGAATTTTTTTAGTACCATAGGATTTTAAATGACTACTTAACTTAATCAAGTTGTAGCCTAATAAATGAACATATATTATACAGGAACATACAATATATACATCAACATACAATATATAGATGAACATTCATTTTTGGTCTAAATGCAGGTTTGATAACAAATTTTTTCAAGGAAATAAAATTCTCATCTACTTTAGTCTATTTATAGGTGTTCAATAGTCAAATTCTGTTTTTCTTTTTATTTTTCAATTGACACTTCAATTTTATCTTTCTTTTATCTTTTAAAAGTGGTGTAGATAGTTAGTTTACTGTTTTCGTGAGTACTTTAATATACTTTGCACTCTTAGTGTATTTTAGGTACTACTTTTAGGTTTCTAAGTTGATAAATTTTGAGTTTTAGGTATTTTATGTAGTGTGAGTGCTTAAATAGCTAGGTTCTACCATTCTTAACTTGTTAGGATAGTTTATTTGTAGTATATTTTCCTAGTTTAGTGCAGTTTGCAAAATTAGCACAATATTTTTGAGGTTTGAGTAGTGATTTTTAGCTATTCCATCTAATTTCTGTTTAACTCCACCTTGTTGCTGTTTTCCAGGTTGGTCTTGTGTAGTTACACATTCTACAGTCACTTTTAACATTGCCTAGTTAATTGAATGTTATAAACTCACTTTTGGTGGTGTGAGGGAGTGATTATTCTGCAGTTTTGGCCATAACAAAGTCAGATTTCGAAGTCTACCATTTGTATGTTGTGTCATAGTTTTAGCAAGTCTAAAGTGATCTTTAAAAGTTGGTAGCAGAGTGATGGACGCATCACAGAGTTCAATTACTGATATAATGGTCTAAGTGCATAATAGTATACTAAACCATCAATTTTCAGTCAAAATTGGGAAGTGGCAAGGTGTTTTTCAGTAACAGTTTGGATGTGAGCCAATTCAAAGTTTGAACAACTTTAAAAACACTAAATCAAGTTGCTGGACTGATTAGTTTAAGAGATGATTATGCGTATATGCATAAAAATGACCATTTCAACAGTCCAAGTGTTAGAAGATGGAGTGATTAATACAGGTTGCTACTACTTGGAACATGTTTAATATCATTAAACAAACTTTAGCTGTGACCTTCGAAGGTAATGTGATGATTAACTTAACTCTACCTTTTTTTTATATCGAATTGTTTCAGTTTTGCTTGTAGTTTTGAGTTCTCATTCATGAAGATGTTTTACTTTAATTTGTAGTTTTGAGTCCAAAGTTTATCATAACAGTCAAGAACCTCTAAGAAATGTAGTACCATTCAATAACAGTTCTTAAAACTGGTATTACCCACTCTCAAATGTAGTACTACCCTTTCTGCTCATGAACTGATCAAAGTCCATTCTGCAACACAAAACTAATTAGTTTAGGTTTGGTTTGGTCTCTTTAAAACTGGCATGACTGGCCTATGGTGTCAGTCTATGGAATTTAACTGCTTTTGCCTTATACTGATTCACTGCCCTTTTGCCATTCTGTGTCTCACCTCTCACCTAACAACAAATAAAGTCATTTCACCTAATAGCTTTGGGGATCAGTGGAAAGGAGTTGATGTTTTTGATTTTCAATTCTTACCATTGGTGGACTCACACAGGACACTAAGCATAATGAAAATCATTAGATTTGAGCTACCATTTTTATGCTTTATGAGAGGAGGTAGCCATGTGGCTAATGGCTTCAATTTAATGATATTAAACATGTTCCAACTACACAAAAGAATCAAACCTTAGCTGGAAAACTAATTCTGCACTACATAAAGTCCCTAGTTTGCTGGTTTCATACTAAAAACCATATATAAAGTGATTTAAACACAAATGAATGTTCAAGCAACTTTGTTTGATGATTTTCATTGTCTTTAAACTCTAAAATGAGTTCAAAACAGCCTACCAACATATCCATCAATACCTTTTTAACACACTAAACACATTGACATTTGAATTTATAAGATATAAAAAGATGCTAATAAAAACATAAATATGAACTTAGATGAGAAATTACAAAAAAATAAATAAAGTACAGTACAAAAGTGTGGGAGTGGATGAAAGAGTAATTTGAGAAAGATGGAGGCCAGAATTAGATAACATAGATTGATGCAAGCAAAGTCCAAAAAAAAAACGTATAGTTTCGATTTTTACACTCAAAACATTTTCCTTTTCATTAAATTCACCTTGGATACCGATATCAATTTTTTAAAATGTCATAAAGTGTTGAACAAACCATTCTTAATGCATTCAAGGTGTAGGTCAAACTTTTGCTCTTTTTTATCTTCATAGTTGTTTGCATAGGTACCAATAATACATACATACCTCTCTCTTTTTTACCTTAGGATGCTACCAACCATTATATCTAATATCTTATATTACCAAATCAGACCCACGCCTTCTTCAACAGTTAATCATAGGTAGTCTATATTATAAATTTTTGTTATTGCTAGTTTAAGTTACAAATTTAAAAATTTATAAATCTCTTGAATAGGGTTTTTATTTTTCATTTAGTAAGTGTCATTTCTCAAATTAATCAAACAGTAAAAAGCAATATAGACATCTACCTACAACCAGAAGTTTCATATAAGGGTAGGGACCTATATAAGTTTTCATCATTGCTATATTGCTTTAGCCTTTGACCTAATTTTGTAAAATTAAAACTTAAAACCTTTTTGTTAGTTATAATATCAATTCATTAAACTTATATTTACATTAATCTAAACCACAAATTTTGCATTACACCATGAGTATGGTGATAAAACAATACGTTTATTCATATTGCATGCTTAATCAAAGTAGAATTTAACAATATCAGTTACTTGATTGGTGTTAATGTATTTTCATATACAGGATGTGTTATTGGTTGAAACTCGCAACAAATAATAAAATAGGTCTTGATGTGTGAAATTGTGCCATTTGGAGAGATTAACGTTAATCTCTCCATCTCTTTCTACCTATTTGTTGTTCCCACCAACTGATCTACTTCAAAATAATCTACTTCGTAATGCATGCTCTTTATTTCAAATGACTCCATTCGTTGTTAGTTACTTATTACTGACATTGAAAACAAACATCATCTTTCTCTATATCTAACACCTTTCTTCCTCTACACTTTAGATCACAGCATAATGGGACAAGAATCACATCACAAAACCCAGTTAGTGTTGGAGATTTCTCCATTTCCACACGTTCACTTGGTTGTATTCATACACTTCTCTCAAACCCTGCTAAGCCACCTTTCATAGATTGGTATTGCATTCTTGGAGTGATTATTTCATACATATTATATTACCACTTTTCTCTCTTTTTTTATATGATCATGCTAATTAATCTCTCCATATTGGGTTCTCATAGGTGGAAGAAAATGCAAGGTTGCTCACCATCCGCCAGCAATACCATAAACTTGGTAGGCTTAACTCCTTTTTTTCTTCTTTTTTTCATGGTTTCTTTCTCCTGTATAACAAGAACTGATGCTTTTGATTCAGCCCTACAACTTCATCCGGACAAGAACAAACATCCAAAGGCTGAAATTGCTTTCAAACTTATATCTGAGGTGAGTTTCTGATACACAGTGTTCTTGAGTAAAGAAGTTAATTAAACGCTGATTGGATAATTTCTGTAGGCATATATGTGTCTGTCTGATGCTGAAAAAAAGGAAAGGTTTTGACTCAAAAAGATCTAAAAATTTCTGCTTTGAGAGCAATAAAATTCCATATACATCTAAAAAAGTCCTTGTTCCTGGAAATTCCAATGGGTCGACACGATGTTACAAAGTTCAGAGAAATATTAAAGAGATGGAGAAATGTTGAAGGAGGAGGCTAAGGTTATAGAGAAGTGTCTCCGAGCAAATTTGATGTCAAAGAAAGAGTCTCCACTGTACAATCCTGCAGATTACAGACATGGAAGCAGATTTCTGCATAAAGTTGAGAGAGAAGTTCCTGTTTTCAATCCATTGAAATACTTGTACCAAGGATATCCTCATCTCTGAGATCATGTTCATCACAATTGGGAGACATGTTGGTACTTTGATATACAAAATCTTGTGCAGAATCACAAGGGAGAAGCTATGTATGTGTACGTTGATTGGAAGCAAATCAAGGGGAAGTTAGAGGTTGAAAGGTTCATAGTTGAAGTTTTGCGTACTTAGAGCACACACTTGCAGGCATTAGAAGCAAACGCAACAGTTACAACAATTCGCACTGTTGCTCAATCTTCACCACCTCATTTGCTTTTATTTTCCCTAAACTACGGTTAAGGTTATTTAAACCTTCTCACTGCCATGCCAATTCCTTGCCCCTCATTCCAATTAAAAACTAATCTTTCTCAATCAAACAACATCATACACTACTGCCACAACAACATCAAACAGATTCAAGAACATTGTAACTCATAATGAATTTTTAAATGTACAACTTACCTCAACCGAGATAGCCCTTGACGATGGCAACCTTTGTACACCACGACAACGACGCAACCACACAACAACCACTCCAGCCAAGTCCCTCAACCAAGTTCCTTCAATCATATACTAACAAGTGAATGAAAAGTAGATGAAGGCAGCAACACTCTAGGCTTCAGCAATATGAACATGACAGTGTGAATGAAATTCTATGGAACTTACCTCTACCAAGATACCGCTTCACGAGCACGACAGCAACAGAAGCCCACAACGGCCCCTCCAAC